AAATGGCACGATACGCCACCGCACAGGGTTACATACCATTTTCTTTGCATCTCTCTTTTTGCTTCTTCCGAATTTTTTATGATTTTGACATTTCATATCGTTTCTTTTTTTGTAATTTTTGATGCGTTTCTTTTATTGTGATGTGATGTTTTCAGTGATTGAATTGTATAGTGAATTATATGAAAATTAATTGGAAGTGTTAAAAAGTAAAAAAAGGAAGTTAAAATAAAAGTTAATAATGCAATATTTAACACCTCAATAACTTTTTCCATCATTTCTTCTTTAGATTCACACATTTAATTTTAAATCACTTCTTTATAAATATCTGTTACAAACAATTAGCTCTATACGAAATACTAAATAAAATAAAATGTCAGAAAAAATGCCAAGCACTATTATCGTAAAATGCCACCGTGTAAAGGCGCGAAGATTTACGCAGAAATTTTAAAAGAGAATTGATAAAAATGCCAGCTAAAAATTGCACCGTGTAAAGGCAGTGTAAGGTACTATGTATGTTATCATTTCGTAGTGCATTTGTCAGTGCCATCAAAGAAGAAGAAGACTCGCAAAAAGAATACTGCTACTACAATTTGCAAAATTAATATATCATTTTAGTTAGTCCCTTACATTTGCTCTAAAGTTGCGTCATTAGTGTGACATTTTCGCATATTGACATAATATGGAACAGTTTTTTTTTATGGAAATAATGCAATGTAATTATTTAGAACAAGACGAAAACAGTTATATTTTGTTATGTATGTTATCATTTCGTAGTGTACTTATCAGTGCAATAAAAGAAGAAGACTCGAATCATAAATACTGCTACAAGAATTGCAAAAAAATAATCCATCCCTTTAATCTGCATTAATGTTGGAATCATTGGTTTGCCGCTTTCACATAATGTTTAATATTTTTTTATGAAAATAATGCAATTGTTTCATAAATTCGTTGCCGATATATGCATAATTTGCAATTTATATTTGTCTATTGTTAGTTTCTTAATTTTATTAATATATCGGAATTTTAACGCTGTATTGGAAAGGGGAAAAATCTCTAAGAAACTCTTGTATGCAATACTTGTTTTGAGAATAATAAATCTAATCTTTTAATTCAACATTTCTTTTTATATGTTTATAATAACTGCCGCCATTGCCATACTACAACAACCGGCAGCTGCTACTGTAATTTATTAGAAAAAAAAAAAAAAACAAATCTTTGTTAACACTTTTATCCAGTTCATCCTCTGTTATATATATTTACAAAAAAAAACTCCCTCATACAAAGATGGGAAACGTGCCGTACCAAAAACACTTTCTTGTGGTAAATATGCCGCCAACATTGTTATTACAATAGAACAAAACGTCTCTCTCGCTCTCGGTTGGTGGGATGTTGAAAAGAAATGTTGTGCGTGCCATCATGTTCTTGTTGTTGCCATTATATTTTTATTCTTTCTTGGTCCACCTTGGCTTGGTCACACTTTAATACGATTCAAGCAAGTCACACTGTTGTTGTTGTTACTTTAATTTTCTTTTTGTTTGCTACTTTATTTATTGGCCTCTAGAGATGACTTTCTTTGTGATGAATACTCACTCTACTCAATTTGGTGAACAACACCTTTCTTTTTGCAAATATTTTTGCTATTTCGATGTGTGTGTGTTTTTATGGTTTGCGTTATATGATTCTACAATTTCAACATTGTTGCTAGATCTTTAATTTCATTTCCCTTTACTTTTTTTGCAGTTCTACTTTAAATATTTTTTTTTCTAATTTTCTCTTACATTCCAATGCCAAAAAAAAAAATATTGAAGGTTGTAACCCAGTAAGAAATGAGGTACTCTTAACTTTAAGGTTTCAGTAAAATTCAATAAAAAAATTAATTATATTTTCTCATAAAATGGAAAATAAATAAAAAAGTGTAGTTGAAAGATTGGACTTTAATATCTGTTTAAATTATACTATTTACAAATTTAAAAAATGTATTTATTTTATTTTTTATGTCCTATTACCTATTTTAATGTTTCATTACAACGACAATTTACGTTACTACTCCTCGACTAACTGTAGCAAATTTCACAAGAAATAACTTAACTTAGCAACACTGTTACGCCTTATCCTTCTATGCCGCTATCCCTTATTCAGGAATATTCTGTTTATAGTAAAAATCGAGTTTCGGCTGTATCAATAAATCTTTTTTAATACCGTAGAAGAAAATTAGGGGTTTCATCATAATTAGAATTATCACATCTGACATCCCTATTTTTGTATCAGCTGTTAGTAGTTTACTTCATCCCTGATATCAATTCACTTGAAGTGTAACTTTTCTTACTTTTCTTTACAGCCATTTTAGATTTAATTTTTAAGGTGTTTTATTTAATTTTTTGGATTATATGTGCATATGCGACACAAAAATTAAATATTTCCTAGTACAAGTTGTGCATAAGTTAATTAACTGCTTTCAAATTGATTGCACTTATATAGTGCTATCAATGCCATTGAATGCCACTTTTGTCTTTAGAAGGTCAAAAGTAAGAAGAAGCAAACATCTGTTGTGAATTGTTTGTTTTTGGTCAGTTTAATGATCGTGGAGAGGAATCACCCATCCATCCCCCGTAAGTTTCCTTAAAACTATTCAATAAAATTGTTTGATTCACTGAATAAACTTTTAATATTTATTAAAAATCACTAGAATTACTACTCTAAGGATTGCAATAGCAGGTAGATAGTAGAAAATAAACCTGGTGCCCGATGGGAGACTTACTTTTGCTGGTTAGTTACTCTGTAAAACTAAGGAAATCAATCCTCTTCTAAAGACAAAAGAAATATGGATTAATAACACTTATTTATTAAATAAAAATACGTAATAAATCCCCAATGAGTTGGAAACACAGGGGAGTGTGTTATATGACAATAAACTATTAAATGGAAACAAACTGAAGGAAGCTTGCATTGTTTTGGGTATTTACAAAGTAATGACCAAGGACATCTGCCCTTTTCGATCGACAACAACTAAAGCGACAATTTTGCCTTAAAATTATATACACATTTGTAACCTCCATCAAAATACCAGCTGGAGTTTGTTCTCCTCCTAAATGGAATGGACAAACACACATGGCAAATGTTATTAAGCCAAAAAAGAAAAGAAAAATTATGACTATGTCCACCAAGTTTGTTCACCTTGTGGCAATTAACCAAAGAAATGAATTTCAAGAGCAACAACAATCAAACCTTGACAATACCTTGAATGTCATCCTTCTTTGCACCTTTGGCATCTCTTAATGATTAGCAAACGAAAACCACCACCACCATCGTCATTATTGCAATGGGTACTTAAAACATTTCAACAATGTTCCTTTGAATGTCATCCTACACTCACTGTATTCTTCTTTGATAAACTGCACACGGAAGCAAAAGAAAATCGTTGTAACGTTATTTTGTTGGTTGGTGTGCCGTGAAATGTAGTAGGAGAACGGATGCTTAGAATAGTGACAAAAAGGACCTTTCACGCTTTCTGCTTGTTGTTGTTGAAAATGTGCACCATGCTTTTGTGTGCGTGTGTGTGTGTGTGAGGTTGTCAGCAGAGATTTGCCACAATGGTTGGCTGTTTGTCTATTTGGTTCTTTTTCTTCATGGTGGCTGTGTTGGTGTTTTGAAATTTTATAACACCTTGATGTGTTTTTGTTTTCACTGCTTTGTAATTGTAAAATTTACCTTGATTCTTTATTGTTAGTATTGTCTACATGTGTGTGCGTGTCCTTCCTCAAATCGTTACAATCTGCTCCTTGACAATATATGTGGCTGTCCAAATTTTCCTCGTCATGGATTTTATTGTAAATCCATGGCTGCTGCTGCTGGCGTTCAATTCATTCTTCACATTACATCTGCTTTTTCCTTGGCCATTGTTTGGAAAAGTGGCACGACCTCCATGTCTATTAAGATTTCTTTGTTTCACCATTTGAAAAATCCCTAAAAAGATTCTGGAAAATATTTTCATGAAAGGGCAACTGTTGCAGTTCTCCGTCGCTTCCTGTTTGGCTTCGTCAATTTGGGAATGCTGAGTTTTGAAAAGATATTGATTTTAGTTTACCAAAGACTGGCATAGCATCAAGACGTCAACTCAAGAGAAATTTAACGAAACAAAATAAAATTAACTCAAACTTCTTTGCTCTCACAGTTGTCTGCCATTTCGTTAACTTGTAACTTTTGTACAACAAAACCATCATCTTGTAATAATAACTGTTAATTTTTTTGCCAAGCAAAATAGAAGCCCTGTTGTTGATCTCTTACAAAATTGCTTAACAACACCCACGTTCTTTATTGTTAACTAAAGTCGCCACTAGACCGCACTGAGTGTTTGTGTTTCGTTTTTATTAAATTGATATATTCCAGTTTTTTGTTTGTTAAGTTTTTGTTTAATTTGTTTTGTGTCGAATGTTTGCGTAATTGTTTGTAATTATTTTTTAAACATTTGTCCACAATTAAAGTGCTTTTAAACAAAGTTTTTGCACCCTGTTCGGCGGCCTTTTTTTAAATTTGGTGTGTTTGATTATTTTCCTCAAACTGGATAATAATTCGCTTTTATTGAAATTATTAAGTTTAATGTCTTCACCACCGCCCGCTTCGTCATTTTCCTCGTCGTCGTCGTCATCATCGTCGCCCTCATCATCGTCGCTATCGGATTATTCTCCCACAACTTCTAGTCCTGAATTAAATTCACATTCTTCGACCTCAGCTGGGGTGTCTGGTGGTTCATCATCGGCAATTAAAGTCGAATTTGATCGCAACATCATGGATTTGGTATATCAGCCGAGGTGAGATGTTCAAAAGAGGGCCTTAAATTGTTCGTTTGTGCAAAAATAGTGCAAAAAAAAACTAAAACCTATAACCACTGTTCTTAGTTATTATGGATCTTGAGGAACTTTTATCAAATTTTATTAGATTTATATATTTTGCTTATTTTTTAAATTTTTTCTAATTCCCTTTTATTTTTTATATAATTCCAGATTGCCGGTGAACGAATGTCAGGCAAGTCAAACTGCTAGAGTGACATCGAACCTAAACGCATCCAGTAGTACAATGGCGGTCAGTCGTGTACCCTCACCGCCCTTACCGGAAGTTAATACCCCGGTTGCAGAAAACTGGTGTTACACACAGGTAAACTCGATTCTGCTTTACGAAAAGAAAATCTCAAATTACTAAGATATTTGAAACTGGGATTTTGTCTAAATCTAATCCCTGAATTGAAATTCGAGATTATCTGTTTTGCCCTTAAATTTCATTCCATTGTTCCTAATCCATTTCTTTGTTTTGTTTGCTTGCAGGTGAAAGTGGTTAAATTTAGCTATATGTGGACCATAAATAATTTTAGTTTTTGTCGCGAGGAAATGGGTGAAGTCTTAAAGTCCTCCACATTTTCCGCCGGTGCTAATGATAAACTGAAATGGTAATTATCATTGCTTCTTTCTTCTTTAATCTCCCACAAAGAGGATTTCGATTTTAATCTCACATATTCGTTTGGTTTCATCTTTCAGGTGTTTACGTGTCAATCCAAAAGGTCTAGATGAAGAAAGTAAAGATTATTTATCCCTATATTTATTATTAGTTTCCTGCAATAAATCAGAAGTTAGAGCCAAATTTAAATTTTCCATATTGAATGCAAAAAGAGAAGAAACCAAAGCCATGGAATCACAGAGGTATGTATTTTGGAATTGTAAAATAAGTCTTTATATAGCAATATAGTCTATATTTTTTAAAAATTTTACGGGGATCCAAAAAATACATAGTTTGAACATTTAAAGATCGTTTAGGAGACGTCAAAGTTGTCATGGACTAAATTCCATTTTTCAAAGATTTTACCGCGATTCAAAGAGAAAACAATTTGGACAGTTATAGATCCTTTACGAAACGTCAAAGTAGTCGTAGACTTTTTAAGAAAGGCTGAGGGTATAAAACTTGGGTTTCTTTAGAACCAAAAGGTAGCAAGATTCTTAAAAGATTTCATCGGAATCCAAAAAGAAAATAGTTTGGACATTTAAAGATTTTCAGGAGACGCCAAGGTAGTTGTGGGTTTTATACCATTCTTTAAAGATTTTACCGGAATTCAAAGAGAAAACAGTTTGGACATTTAAAGGGTATTTTAGAATTTGCCAAAGAAATCGTGGAATTTTAAAGAAAAGCTGAGGGCATAAAACTCTAGGCTTTCTTTAGAACTTTTCATGGAACCAAAAAGGAGCAAGACCTAAAATATGTCTAAATCCCAAAGACCTTTTTGTGGCTCCCAAATATGGCTCTTAAATATTTTTCAATTTTAAATAAACCCAAAGGGGTTTACTCCATAAATGTATAATTTATTTTCACAAGCTCCTAGGGGGAGTCGTCATGAATTTACATCAATTGATTATAAGTCCCCAAAGAATAATACTCATGGATTTTAAAAAATATCCGATTGATGCTCTTAATCGACAAGAAGATGTATAAATTTTTATTGATATTGAAATGTTTATAGATTTTAATATTTATTTAAGAGAGAGAAAGGCTATACCTCGTCAAGGATCAAATAACTTTAGAGACAATTTAAAGGGCAATAGTCTTGAATTTTTAAGACTGTTAAAAGTGATAAGAGCTTATATTACAATTATTTTTAAGAGGTTCAAATAGGACAACAGTTGTGGATTTAAATGTTTACAACGAGGACTTAAAGTGATGCCAAGGACGCCAATAATAAACCCTTTTTAAGAGGTGCAAATATGTAAAAATTGTAGACTTGAAAATTTTCAACGAGGACTTAAGAGAACTTTACTGGAAACTAATTTCTCTTTTATATTCATATTTAATTTTCATTCAAACATTCCTTTTATCCATCTTTCTTATCAATTTTTCTTTCCACTTTCTTTATTGCAGAGCATACCGTTTTGTACAAGGCAAAGATTGGGGTTTCAAAAAATTCATACGACGAGATTTCCTATTGGATGAGGCCAATGGCCTATTGCCTGAAGATAAATTGACAATATTCTGTGAAGTTAGTGTAGTGGCCGATAGTGTTAATATTTCCGGTCAATCAAATATTGTACAATTCAAAGTGCCCGAATGTAAGCTAAGTGAAGATTTGGGTAATCTCTTTGACAATGAGAAATTCAGTGATGTAACGTTAGCCGTGGGTGGCCGTGAATTCCAAGCACACAAAGCAATATTGGCAGGTAATTATTGAAAATCACAATATCTATTTTTTTTAAATTAAATATTAATTTTTCTTTTTTTCTCTTCCTGATTCTACAGCACGCAGTGATGTCTTTGCTGCCATGTTTGAGCATGAAATGGAGGAGCGTAAATTGAATCGTGTCGCCATAACTGATGTTGATCATGAAGTTTTAAAAGAAATGTTACGTTTTATTTATACTGGCAAGGCGCCAAACTTAGATAAAATGGCCGATGATCTCTTAGCAGCAGCTGATAAGGTTTGTCCTACATACAAACATACCTCTTATGTTGTTTTCTTCATTGTACTAATTGTTATTGTTTTTTTTTTTTTTTGGTTTGCAGTACGCTTTGGAAAAGCTGAAAGTGATGTGTGAGGAAGCGCTGTGCGTTAATCTCTCCGTTGAAACAGCCGCTGAAACATTAATATTAGCCGATCTCCATAGTGCGGATCAATTAAAAGCACAAACAATAGATTTTATTAATACGTAAGTATCTACGTTTTTCTCTGTTTTGTTTCAAATATTTGGGTTGTGAACATTTATAAATGTTTGCACTAATTTGTGAATGTTGTTTTTTATGTTCAACAACTGTTGGGAAGACATTTATCGCTTGTCCCAGATGTCATATCATAATTAATGGTTTGCTTTGACATTTTTCGTGATGACAGCGCGAGAACAGTTTAAAATATATTTTAACAAATTATGTTAGAAGCAAATTTGGCAGAGATGATGGACCTATTCGTACCAAAATCGATTCGAAAATTTGAAATGAAAGAAGTACTGATTAAGGGATATTTACAAAGCCATAACTTTTTTACATCTTTTGGGCTGAAATATTACGCCATAAACTGGCAATTTTAAAAATTATTTTATTGAAATATCAGATTTCAAATCTTTAAGTACATATCTAGCGCATTGGAGGAGGGATTTCCATGGGGTTTCAAAAATTATGCCTTGAGGAAATTATCGGTCCCAAAAAAAAAAAAAAATAATTTAAAATACATTTCTCAGGGAAATATCCATGAACTTTAAGAACAAATTTTTTAAGGAATATAGGACAACTTTGATTTTTCACTTAAAAATTATATATTGCGGAAAAAAAATCGGGCCATAAAACTTAGACTCACAAAAAGTTGTAGCAAAGCAGATTTTTTAAAAATTTCTGTTTTCGTTTTTCTGAATCCTGTTTTTTAATTTCTTTTTCCTGCTTTTTCTATTTATTTTAGTCATGCCACCGATGTTATGGAAACCCAGGGATGGCAAAACATGATCACAACACATTCACATCTAATTGCCGAGGCATTTCGTGCGCTTGCAACACAACAAATCCCACCGATTGGACCACCCAGGAAACGTGTAAAAATGAGCTGAAATTTCAATAGTAGTAGAAGACAACAACAAAGGCAGCATCAGCAACAACAACAACAACAAGAACAGCAACAATTGCAATTGCAACAAAAACAACACATTATAGATAATCAAGAAAAACAACAAGATAAATATAATAATAATAGAGATAATAATGAAAACTATAATTATTACAACCACAACAACAACTACTATAATTACAACAACAAAAACAGCAGCAACAACCACAAAAACAACTATTATTATAATTATTTCTATTATTATAACATAAAATGCAAAACAACAACAAATTTGAAACAACCAACAACAAAAACAACCTTATATTGTACGATTATGATAATAAAATATTTTTTTAAAAATTTCATCAACTATAACAAAATGAAAATTAAAATAAATTTAGCTGATATTTTCAATAGTACTACGACTACTACTACCAAATCCCTTATTAGCAACAACAACAAAAACAACCACAATAGTTATAACAAAAACAATAGCAAACATTTGCCATTTGGTATTCCAACAAATGTCTTCAATTCAAGCAACATCACCACCAACACAACTCATAACTATTATTACTACTACAACAACAAAAACAGCTACTACCACAACTGTTTTATAGATCTACAACATCTACTCCTAAACTATTTGCAATTCCTGAAATTACAACTTGTTCAGCAGTATTTATTCTTCTGTGAATTTTTGTGACTATTTATTTTAAGGTCTATATAAAAGAAACAAGAAACAAAAAAACAAAACACAATATTGTATTATTATAATTAAATTACTAAATTAGAAATTTATCAATGTCGTCGTCTTGATGTTTAATATTCTATTAAAAAAAAAAAAAAAAAAAAAAAAAAAAAAAACAAGAAGAAAAACAAACAAACGAAAACCAAATGCTGAACAAGTTGTAGTTTTGAGAGAAAAGTAATTCCCCAACAAAACCGAAAAGAAGATCATAGTATGCAAATTAAGAAAAAGCAAAAAACCCCAAACAATATTTGATGTAGTAGATCATTGCAAGAACCAAGCAAAACAAAAATAAATTTCAAATCAATGCAAAAAATTCCTCAACTCAAATGTAGAAAAATCGGTTTGTAAGAATACAAATTTTGTTTTAATTTTCTAGAAGACAATGCATACCATATTGTAGACATGAAAAAGGATTATATTCTCTATATCCATTTCCCCACCACCACCTAAATACCTATTACCTAATATTTGTAAATCCAAAATCCTTTGTAAATGTACATTTTTTCTTAATTGTTGTTGCTTATCTTGGTAGACATTATTTGGTTGAAAACAAATATTTGTTTGCTTCCCTATTTTAATTGGCATATATAACGTTTTTTTTGCGTGTGTTTGAATACAATTTGACCCAATCGCCGTACATGCTACATACATACTGATTCCTTTACGGTTTCCTTTTTTTATAAATTCAATTGTTTACAATTTATGGTATAAGTTATTTTTTATTTTTGAGATTATCCTACAACTCAACATCACCCGCTCTCTCTCATCCAGCCTTCCCATACATTGTCGGTACATTTCGGACTCGTCAGACGGCCTAGGTCGTCGCTGTGTAGATGTAAATTGAAATTGTATACAGGCTTTGGATGAGTCGCACCTACATTGTCAGTAGTCTCAGTTGGAAGATGTATGTGCAAAAAAATCCGCTGAGAAGAACAATTTTAGCTTGGTATATTTTTTTCCCCATTCTAATGTGTTTGCTATTTGAAATTTCTTAATATTTTGAAAAAAAAAAAAATAATAAATAAAAATTGAGGTTAGGAATTGTCTGGGATTGCTTGAAAATAATTAAAAAACTGGTTTTAAAAGATTAAATACCCGGGAATTTTCAGCTATTTTATGACAAAAATATTTTTAAGGGAAAAGTTTGTAAACAATTAAATATTCCAGAATTTGTCATGAGTTGTGTTGTGTTTGGATAAAGTAGAATGTATAAGAGATCATTTATTATTTAAAGTGATTGCCCATTGCAATATGATGACGTTTGTTGACCCTTGTTTATGCCTGTTATGTGCATTCGGGTTGTATGTGCCACGAAGAAATTGGAATACCAGACATCGATCTCAAGTCAATATATAATCGTAGAATCTATTAGACATCATTTATCATTGTAATATGAAGCTAACCCATATATGGTACAACTAGGCCCCATCTCTAAGAAATTGGAATACAAGAAATCGATCTCAAGTCAATATATAATCGAAGAATGTATTAGGGATCATTCATAATTCAAAGTGATTGTTCAATCCGAAATGAAGCCTTAAGTCTGATATGTTCTTTCGGGTCGTATATGTCACTAACGTTTCGTATATGTCACCAACATTAACCATTTGATCGACCCTATAAAGCTAACCAAGCTAACCATAAATGGTACAACAACTAGGCTTTCAACTCTAAAAAATTGGAATACAAGACATCGATCTCAAGTCAATATATAATCTAAACTGATAATTCCAGAAAAAATTAGGGTAATATATCGAATATAGGTGAGAAAGATTTGTTAGACATGGATTGAGTAAATTTCTATTGGTTTCGAGCATGTCTTAGTTTGTGGGGAGAGTATTAAGGGAAAAGTGGGAAAAATGATCGATCTGGAGATTTTGTTTTTTCTATACAAAAATATAAGTATTAGGTCCGTCTAGTTACTAATTCTGCAGAAAATTACAAGCTGTTAATTTCTGCCAGGGTAAGGAGATTTCTTCTCTTTTGCAAGAAAAATGTGAAAAATAAACACACGGGGTATCCCAGCATAAACTTGCAAGCATTTGTCAAGACGATAGAATTTGCCAGCCATAGGAAGAAATGTTCCAGAACAGCAAGAATATAAACTTTTTTTCTACGATAACCGAAATTGGAATTGGAAAACTGGAACAGGCCAACTGTAAACTCGCCTAGTACAAATCAGAACTCAGAAATCGAAATCCATAAAAATAGGACAGCAATCCTGACACTATGGGTTTATTTGAAATATTAAATTAGCATTAACATATCTTGGAGATGGGTTGTTATTACTAGCTTTTGGTTAGACTATTGGTCTATTCCAGAACTGCAAGAAAATAAAATTTTTCAGTGCGATAATCGCTTTTCCCTTTATGATATCGAAACAAATTGCAAAAATAGTAGATTCTTGTAGGTTCTGGAACACAGCATATTTCTTCTACTTTGGAAGTTCAGAACAAAATTTGAGGTTAGATCATATCTTTAAGTACCACAAAATGTATTATGAGACAATAATTTGAAAGATGGCTATTGGAACTCATTAGCAAATATAGAGGTTAGGTAAATTCTTCGCTATAGCTGGGTTGGAAAGTCACCATTAAAACTTATTTTCAAAAAGTTTCCATTGGAACCGTATCAGTAGTATCCTTGGGGGCTAATTAGCAAATATAGAGGTTAGATAAATTCTTCGCTAGAGCTTGGGTGGGGAGTCATCATTTAAACTTATTTTCAAAAAGTTTCCTTTGGAACCTTGTTATCAGCATACAGACTGGGTCCTGTGTCCATTGTAATGTGTGTTGGACATTGATGAAGGTAATAAATTCCGTATTTTTACCCGAAATCAGATTCGAAATTTACGCCCTTTCAATACTCAAATTTGTATTTCCCAGCATTCCTAAACGTTGATAAAGATGGTGGCAGTGTTTTAAATCAATAATCTTTTTCGCTTTGCCCTAAATCGAGATTTTGGCTCTATTCACGGCATGGGATTGTAGACGATATTGAGGTTAGGATTTTCACTGCTATGTTTAAAAAATTTCAATAGGAATTATGCTGTCCTGAGTGACACCTACTACACTACGAAAACTTTAAAGCCAGTTCAGTTCATCCTAAAATGCTTTAAGAGCAAAATAAACCAAAAAGAGAAAGGAAAATATACGAAAATGGGAGAAAAATTAAAAGCAATTTGAACAGGAAAAAATGTTTGTTCCTTGTGGCAATGAAAATCGTGTAAAGCATCAAAAAGGCCTGTCTCTTCATTTTATAAACTCGTCTAATAGATCTATTGGGGAACTAATTTTCAAAGCCCCACGAAAAAAGCTTCTAAGCTGGCAACGTAGTATTTGGAATTTGTTCCTATTGTTCTATATGGAATGAATTTAACAATGAGTTGCGTAAGAGGTATGAGGGTCAAAAATGTGTTTTTTTTTTACAGGAGAGGGTTTGTAAAATAGGAATCCAAATCAATTTCCACATCTGTCACTCATACTTAGATCAATTTGATGAAGATTATTAAAAATTGCAATTGGATGAGACTAATGCCAAGAAACTAGATAGGTTTGAAAATTGGAATGTGGTTTAATATGATATAAATATATAGAATATATTTCACAAATACACACAAATTTCTCACGGCCAAAGTCTACAAAACTTCGTGGTGACACTGAGAGAGCAGGATGTTGATTTTCAAAGTCTACAAAGCTTTGTGGTGACACTGAGAGAGCAGGATGTTGATGTTGTAGGTTAATTATATCAAGTGGTTTTTAAATTTGTATTATCAAATGTTGTTGTTCAAATACTTCTATTAAGGTTTCAAAACATGAGAAAAAATCACAACAACAAATTTTGTTTTTAACATTTCTTTATTTTTTATTAAAGATTTCACAATTTTGTTCACTTAATTTTTTTTTATAATTTTCTTCTGTATAAAGCAAGACATGTATGGAGCAGGAGCTATATTGAGCATAATAATTATTAATGTAATGTGTTTTTTTTATTTTTTATATAAATATATTTTAATTTTTAATTGTTAATTTAAAACAAAAAGTTATTGGTTTAACCAAAATGTAATTTTTAATACTAAATGTAATGATAATTTAGAAGTTTTTTTTATTATTTTTTATTATAAAGATGATGATGATTATGATTAATTATAACTTTTTATTTTTATCAACATAATTATATAACAAAAAAAAAACATAAGAAAACATGAAAACAACAAACTCCAACCCGCCAATTAAGCGTTAAATCAAAACAAAAAATAATAATACTATGTTTTATTTTCCTGCAAACAACTTTTTGTCTATACATATAGGAATATTTTATAATAATTATTAATTATTTTCTTAATTATTTCCATTGAAATTGTTTCTATTAATTAAGTTTTACCCATCTTTCTTATGATTAAATAAAAATGAAAATTATTTCCCTTGAAAAAAAAAACACAGCAAAATATCAATAAAAATAGCTCTTTTTATTTAAACAAATTTTCTTTCTCTTGTTCTATTTTCCCTTACCCTTTCTTGCTATATTTTCTCTTATAGATTTAAAAATAAATTTCGGTTTAAATGTTATTTTTAAGTTATACATTTATTGTAAAATCGTTTATTATTATTTTTTTCTTGTGTAAAGTTTAATTATTTTTTTATTATTATTTGTTTTTCGTTTTAAGCCAACATCCCTTCTTTAAGCAAAAAAGAAAAAAAAAAGAAATCAACAAGCAAATAAACCATTTTTTATTATTAGCTACTTTTATTATTATTAGTAAGACAAACAACAACAAAAAAATGGAACAACAATCAACCAACCAACCAACCAACCATAAACCAACAACAACACAAAAAACAACAAACAGAAGAACACAAGAGAAAAATTGATTTTTAAAGAAATATATTGAATGAGAAAAACACTTTTGTGAAATTAAAGAAAAAAACTTAAAAACAAAGAAAAAATATGATTTTTTATTTCGAAGAGGGAAAGGAGTTTAAAATAAAATTAAAAATGATTTGATGTCTTTTAAAATTTTGGAAACTTAATGATATGAAATTTAAGAATAAAAGTCCATGTGAGAAATTAACACATATTTCCTTCCAACAACTTCGTGCAGCCTAATATTTAATGCCGAGATCTATCTGATACCTCCTGTGATGAGAGTGGGTTATGTTCCCTGTACACATGAAAAATTTTAGCTGTGTCCGCTGTGATTTTATTACGGCCTTTTTGGGCGAGAATGAGAACGGTCTTAACTGATAGTTTTTGTAATTAAGAGTTTCTTTATAACCTCAGCCATATGGCTAGAGAGGGTATATGTCATTTGATACGGACAAAACATGCCTCATCGAAATAATGGTTTTAGATCCTACGTATCTTTGGGCCAAATCCGTTAAAGGAAATTTGCAGTCGATCTAGCAATGTCCGTCCGTCCTTCTGTCTGCTTCGTGCGCACGGTAACTCTCGAAGGTAGTATCCGATTTGATCCAAACTTCGTACATCGTATTATTATTGTCAAATTTAGATTGAGTTCGGAGATGTGCAATATTGGTGCACTCCTTCTGGTACCTCCTCCACAAAATGTCAACATTTTCAAAGAAAATAATTTACTGCACCAAAAGAGAAAGGATAATGCGGTTTTTCTCCAACTTTGCAAATCCTTATATTTGCTTCAGTGCTAGGTCAGATGTGAAAATGGACAATATCGGTCAACTCCATCAAGTACCTCCCCCACAGAGGGGCCAAAATTTTCAATTGTTATAACTCTTATATAATGTGATGTAAGTGTCCGATTGTCTTCAAATTACACACATCATAATATTTTTATTAAGCCAAGGTCTGGAGTGAAGATCTAATATATCGGTCCACTCCTTCTGGTACCTTTCAAACAAAGGGTCAAAATTTTGAATATTCATGAAGCGAATTAAACTCGAAATTAACATCCGATTCCATTCAGGCTTGGCACATCTAAGTATTTCAATATACACATCCGATTCCATTCAGACATGGCACATCTCAATATTTTCATCAACATAAGATCTGTTATAAAGATGCTGGAGATCGGACCAATTCTTCTGATACCTCCCCCACAAAGGGTCAAAGTTTTGAATAACCAAAACTATTATAAAATCCGACATAAGCATCTAGTTCTCTTCAAATTAATATTTTTATTAACCTAAGGTCAGGTGTAAAAATGGGATATATTGGTTCACCCTTCTGGTACCTCCCCCACTAAGGGTCAAAATTTTAAGTATCCATGAAACTCACAAAATGGGAAATTAACATCCGATTCCATTCAGACTTGGTACTTTTTAATATTTCAAATAACACAAGATCTGATGGTAGAGATCGGAACATTTCTCCTGGTACCCCACACATATAGGGTTTAAGATAGGTTCAAAGAAAGTGAAATAAGCACCCGATTCTCATTGAATTTCACAAATCCAAATGTTTTTGCTAAGAAGAAGAACTGCCAACCCCTTCTGATACCTTACCCACAAAGGGTCACAAATTCCAATACTTATATCTGTCATAACTTGCGAAACACGTCGGCGATTCTTTACAACTTACTATATCTAAATATTTCTCCGAGCCAGATATCTGATATGAATATGGAATTCATCGAAATTTATGATTTCGCATAAAACTGGATATAAATGTTCGATTTCTTCCAAATTTTGCACATACCAATATTTTTATCTGGATTAGATGAAGTATGAGAATGGAATACTTCGGTCCGCTATAACTGTTACCTCACGCATATTTCCACATTTTCCAAAAATTTGCACTCATATGAAGTATAGGAAGTAGTCGATATGGCCCTCAGATACGAATTGGTCAATATTGGCCAACTGCTTCGGAACCTTCCCAGAAAGGATCAACAGTTTGAATAATCATAACTCAAAGCTGGTGGTATACATCTGTCAGCAAAATTGACTGATACTATTTTACTTTTTTTGTACATTCAGTCCGTTGGTTGTACTTAGCGCAAAATTCACAAAATTCTTTTTTAATTTCCCCATAAACTTAAGCTTCTAATAATGTGAAAGATCTTCTCAGTATGTAGAATCAAGTCCCCGAATTCAAAATTGCATTACCAAAAACATCTGACATATTTTGTTTCTATTCAGCGCCAGTGCTTTAGCCTCAGTTTCATTAGGCCTTGCTTTATCGGCCACCACCGATACAAGATTCTCGGAAATCAAAGTGGTATGACTTGCTCCCCTTTACCTCACCCGTCTTTTCGATTTTCAGAAAATTGTTGCTTAAGAGAGACAGTTAAGGGTGAGGCACCTTGACATGTACCAATACTTAAAGAAAAACCCCATATATTTCCTTTATACAAAATCATCAAATATATTTTTATTCATTAGATTCATTAACAATTTTCAAAAATAAAATTAGGAAATATATACGAAACACTTTTTTCTAGTGAAATCATATATTCGAAAGGCCAAAATTTGCAGAACAGTAACAAACTTAGGAAATATTTGTTTTGACTTCTATTAGATTTGTGAGACATCTTCATATTTTTTGTACTCATGTTTAAATATTCAAAATACCACTAAGTAATATTGTTATTATTAAATTTATACACAGTCTGTTCCAGAACTGCAAGAATGTAAAAGTTTTTACTAGGATAACCGATTTTCCCTTAATGAAAACGGAAAAAAATGCAAAAATAGTAGTTTCTTGCAGGTTCTGGAACAGATCAACAATTTGAAAAAATATGCAGTATTTTATAAATTTGAAAATATTTGAGTGGTTCTGTTTCAAATCCAAATTGGACTCAAGAAAATACAACTATAGATATAATATTGAAAAAGATAATAAATAAGTATAACATATAAATAATATAACGAAAACTATGATACTTGTAGGCTGTTCCTCTAAAACGATTTAAAAACTTGAACTTGTTTCTTTTATTATTCCAACCAAAAATAAAGACAAAATTTTTGAACTAGTTTTAGAATACTTTTAGAGAAACAAACGTAAATAATGAAATGCTATTTCTTTTCTTGTTCATCCAAAAACTGTTGCAGCAATTGTGCATCAATGGGTATTGTAAGCTGTTCCGAACCATCAACACTACGTTTGGATTTGACCAATTTGTGATCTAAAAATTCAGTTAGCTGTGCTCTCAACGCCAAATCTGAACTGACCAAAAACGCCTCACGACAACTCCAATATAGATCCTTAAAGGGCATTCCTGAAAAGAAGACATAAATTAAAAATTGTTACCACAAGGACAATATATTATACCAAAAAGGACAATATATTTTACCTTGATAGTTAGGATTTCCCTTATTTTTAAGCTGATGTTTTACAATAATCATATAAATGCCACGACTGTTGGTGGTAAGCGATAGGAATACACTACGCATTGAGGACAATGCCAACTCTCCGGAGTTCTGTACCAACAAGGAGTTTTCAAACGATGTTTCATCGGTGTATGGCAACATTGTGGTGCAATCCCACCAGGAGAAGTTGTAATTACTTAATTTCGTTTGATCCCATACTAGAATTAGAAAATAAATTATTTACAATAAAGACGACATTTTCAAAAAAAAAAAAAATTGCCTGCATTCCGAGTTAAGTATACTTACACAACGGAGTGTTAATATGATCCACCGACGCCAGCATATGAATATTTGGAACTTTCGCCAAACGTGACAAAATCTCTTGAGATCTGGCATTTCGCAACATAGAACCATCCAAGTTATGTACAATTAAATACAAATGTGTCTGAGGAATCAATGCGAATTCTTCTTCAATCATATCGGCAGCTTCATGCGGATTAGCCGGACTAATACCGGCATCCAAAATATCATTAGTTATACTATCAAGTATATCCTTTAGTGTTAAGCTGGGAAAGAATCCGTTAACAACCAATACAGGTTGTTTCGATAACACCTCTCTATGAAATGCCTGCAACAGTTGGCGTTTTGAACCAAGGCCATATAACATTATGTTGTAACCTTCATTGAGAATATACAACCATTTGGGAAAGTAAGACTTATATTCTTCCATTATGGCATTTATCGAAGTTTCATGTTCCGCCGAAACTTTCATTTCAGCCAATAAAGAAAACAGACGGTCTGCCGGCAGACGTGGAGTCTTCAGGCGATCCAACGTGTGATCGGATGTTAGAATTTTTCCACTGGAATGTGATTGAAAGTAACCATCACTTTCCGGTACATAATCGGCGGATTTCTTA